GGGGTCGGTCTGATGGATGGACACCACATCCAGAAAGCAAATGTCCGACCTGCCCAGGAAACGCCGAAGCAACGAAGGTGGCGACGGAAATGGCACGTAGGCGGCAAGTGGAGCCAAGAATGTCCAGGTGGATGAGAGGGATCTTTGGGTTTGGAATGCACATGTCCAAGGAGAACATCCTAGAAAGGCCTACAAGCAAACTCCCCCTGCAGGCCATCCTTTCTGCAGCACACCTTCAAGCCCGCCAGGCCAAGCAGAAGCTGGTCCAACCACAACCCCATCCTTCCAACCACAACCAGGGACCTGAGGCTTGGCAGGTAAGCGTAGAGGCCCAGCGCCAGCCAGGAGAAGAAGCCGAAGATCGTCACCCACGGCGGGGAGAGGTCCTGCCAGTGACCGGCGACCCAGAGGAGGTGCGACCCTCAAAAGGCAGAGTCAGGCGGCTTCTACCTAAACACGTGTATGATCTATCTATCTATATATCTGTCTGTCTGTCTGTCTGTCTGTCTGTCTCTCTGTCTGTCTGTCTGTCTGTCTGTCTGTCTATCTATCAATCTATCTATATATCTTAAAAATCTGTGTATATGGTCTATTTTATGTGTATATGTATATATACATACCGGAGGACAATCTTCAAGCAACTCCGACCGTTCTGTTTCACATCGACCCCCCATTTGGAGACATGGACCTCCCAGGTGGATATGACACTGGCTACCTCGAAAACGACTTACCTCTGCAACAGGGCGTGGGTCCACTTCCCATCAGCGTCGTGTCCACTTCCTCACCCTTGAGCCACCACGAGAAGGCCCGCACCACCAAGCTCTGGCCAGTTCACAGAGGGATGGGCTTATTTGGAGTGGACCTCATGCCGTCACCTGCTTCTGACACCGGAGAGTGGTTTCATTCAACATCCGCAAGCAACCAGACCAGCCACCAAGTCACCCAGCACTCAATGCTAAGGTGTTCCAAACTCCACGACTCCATCCGCATCCTTCTGCCCCGCCCCCTCCGAAACCCTCCCGCAGCTGCCCCACCACATCCAACAAACCACACAAAAACCGTGGTGGGGAACCATCGCGCCGCGTGGTCCGTGTCGACGCTCCTCCCAGTTGAGCTCTTCAAACTTCGCAAAGGCCACGACCGGGGCGTCCGCCAGCTTCTTCGGTACGACCGGCAGCACCTGACCCAAAGCCGAAGAATTGAAGCCTAGGCATGTAGAGAAGTTGGAGTATGATGAGTACAAAATCACTCTTGCCTCCATCCCATGAAGAGCTGCAACCAGCAGGGTCTGAAAGCCACAGTCGTGTGGCCGGAAGAAATTCCACACAGACCCCAAATAAACCAACTTCTCACGTTCACAAAAGCCATTTGGCTCCCTGGTCTGTTTTGACCCAACCCTAGAAAAAGAGTGCCCAGGATGCTTGGAGTTCTTGGTGTGGAAAGGACCCTTGGAGAACCGGGAGGCCTCCGGCCCATCGGCCTCATAGGCGCAAAGGAGCATGGCCAAGGCCGCGGACAGAGACCAAAAGAGCAGTGCATAGGGCCAAACGCTGTGCACCAGCAAAGCGATGGCCTGGCCGAATCGTTTCGCCAGCGGTTTTTCGAACGGCTGGTGGGGCGCCAGCCTGAGCGAATCCAGGCGTGGAAAGGGTTGGGTCTCGGATGGTCTCCTAAATCGGACAGACACAGAATCAGCACATGTTTTGATGGATTCATGTCCAAGTCTTGAACGGGAAACAGCCCACATAAAGAAGCAACACCCCATCTGGTCGTCAGCTCCAAAGCTGTTACGGCTCGGGGGAGGTACCCTGCTTGGTTTTCCGGCGAAAGGTTTGTTTGTGCAGCGGCTATTCTTCAGCTATTTTGGTCAAAGCACTCTGACAGCCTCTCAGCTCCCAGCTCACCTTCCAGATGCCAGGCGTCTGCCAGGTATGCGACAAGAAAATGTCGAAGCCTTCCACCTGCCTGGCAGTGACTCGGCGTGACGGTGCCTGCAAGACCCAATGAAAAAAATAAGTCACCGGTCACCTCACCTGGGGTACCTCATGGGATAGTCTATTCAAACTCTGTTGGCTTTTACGATGCTTTTACCACGTTAAAGAGAAAGCAACATCAACCCCATCGGCGATGCTTTTAGACCTCAAAAGAGTATCTACCACCTTCCAGGGCGGAACAGTAGCCTCCATGTGAGCCTCCAAACCCCCAGGAATTCAGACCATATCTAAAGTAGAGACAGAAAGAGAGAGAGAGAGAGAGAGAGCGGGAGAGAGAGAGAGAGAGGAAAAAAAAGAAGTCAAAATATCTACATACAAATGTCTACACAGAACCCCGGCCTCCCATGCTCCCAGAGCCCCATGCGCCGACCGTCCGGCAGGTCCACAGGGCTCTGGCGGAAGAGGGCGCCGCCGTGCCACAGGGCACGCTGCAGGGAGATGCCACGCAGGAGCTCGGTGTCCACCTGCCGAGCAGAAACACCCCACCCACCCCGTCGGGGACGCGGACGGAGGCGTGGACGGCGGTCCACAGCGTGGACGGCACCGGTGGACACGGCGGTCCCTCCTTCGATCTGATGCAGGACGAGGACCTGTGCCTTTTGGGAAGCGCAGGTGTGAAGGAGTGGCAGAGGGGCGTTGGTACCTGGATGGTGCAAGGTGTGGCTTTTTTTAGAGAGCGGGTGTGCTTGGGAGAGTCACACACTAGCTCAACTTGGGAGACCACACACTAGCTCAAAACCTTTAGAAAACGCGGTTCTGTTTTTCTTAGGGCGTCAGTTCTTGGCTGAACTGTTTCTCATCTCGCGCAGCTCACTTCTTGGGCCTTCCTGGAACAGTCTCGTACTCGTACTCGGTCTCCCAGTCCAACCCCAACGTGCGACCACCGGAACGACCGTCCACCGGAACGACGACCGTCCAGCGGCACGCCTGAAAGTTGCCGATCCTCTGTACAATCCTTGGATCACGTGAGAGGATGGGAGGACCACCGGGATGGCCACCGGATGGCCAGGCGACTCTGGAGCCCTCTGGAGCCTGAAAACTGGGAAAGACCACGATCATCGGGCCACCTGGAGGTGATTCAGTGGGTTGGGGCCAAACATTCACCGGAAAGACCGCCTCATTTCTCAAAATTCCCATGTGGAGTGGAATTGTCCAATGGTACAACTGGTTGCCCCTCTTTTTCAGATTTGCCAACACCAGCCGTTTGCCACGTCTGTATATAAACCCTTTTCACAATACTTTGCGAATCCCACTGGGCAAAAAGTACAGGACTGCCTTCCGTTCTTTGTATCTTTGGACCTCTCCCAGAAACTGGATGAAACTAGTGGATGGACAGCAGTGCCCAGGACCAACTGTCCAGAACGTGGATCCATCAACTAAAAACCCCATCAACAGACTGCTTGGCCGCGCAGACTGCCCAGCGGCGAGGCTTTGCTGGGATGTCGAGACGGGCTTGGGCTGTCGCTGGCGCCTGAAATCCCGGGCTCGTCGCAAAGGCGAACACGTGGCTTCAGGACCTTTGAGGGTTGCTACCCGACCCACCCAGGAGCCCTGCCTGAGATTGACAAAAATCATCAGAGATTCGACGGATGAGAACCTACTGTTGCCACCGTGAGAATGAAAAGGATGTTCCTAGCCTGGGCAGATTTCTGGACTTGTTGGTTTTTCTGAGGCTAAACGCCCGCGAAGCTAATCCCAAGAATAAAACAAAATGAACAACAAGAATGAACAGATAGAAAAAATACATAAAAATACATAAGGTACAAAACAAAGGACAATGAGGTGTTTTTTCCGCATGCATTTTTACATTAAGAAAGCCAAAAAGATATGTCTATGTCTTTGTATGATTTTGCCACATATTAATATTGGCATAATGAAAATGTTTTTGGCCAGCAGCTCACCCTTGATTTTCAGGCCTGTCAGTCTCTGCGGCTTTCCTTCATCCTAAACTCAGCTAGGTGGCCAGCAGAGGCTTCCGTCTTCTGAGCCTCAGCTTCTTCCGCTTCCTCTCGGTGGCTGCAAGCCTGTAGCACCTCTTTCGGCTCCTCCACATCTTCCTCCTTCGCAGCTGGCACCGCGGGATTGGGACAAGGAGAAGGTGGTCCCCTCCTAATCGCCCTGCAAACCGACAGATCTTCGAACTGATCATGGGCATCCCACACGTCGACTTCGGAAGGAACAACACTTCCACACGCCTGGCAGCAGCTACTGCCAGCCAGACCCATGGCGGGTGGCAGTGCCGATGTGAAAATGGCAAGAGAAGACAGATCCCAGGATCTTGAGGACGGGAAACGCAACTCTCATTGACCATTCTATCCACAGTTGGGTTCAAATGATGCGCATCATTCACTTGGTTACAGCAGTTGACTTTCTCACGTTTACTGTTTCACGGTTGATGAACGAGTGCCAAGTGGAGCTGTGCGAGCCGAAATACAGCTACAGCTCCAAAGCGCCAGACACCCCAAGGACTGAACAGGTGCCTCCTCGTGGCGACCAACCAAGGAACCTCCAAGGAACCTCTTCATGTCTTCTGGAACCTCGCCATCGGTTGAGTGTGTCCGGAAATCATCTAACATAGAAAATCACAGGTTTTATATGGCAACAGGAGGCCCAACTTTGAGATTTGCAGGATGACATATGTGATGTGTATATAACCAGATTGGAGTGGCCCTACAACTCTTCATACTCACCAGTCCTTGGATGACCTGCACCGGTCCTGCACCTGAAACTTAGCCCAGAATGCCTCGCAAGCACCCAGAAGCCCCTCCGAATGTGTGGAGTGCACCGGTGCTTCCGTGATGCTCGCCCAAAGCCCCTGCGATCAACTGCCCAGAAGATCCATCCAGAAACGGACGAAACCAACAACGCTTCCCCCAGGGTCGGTGCCCGTTTCACGCGGGCGACGAAGCGCAGCGGTACGCTGTCCTTCGTTCCCCCCAGAGCAGGACCACGGACGCGCCCGGGTCGATCTCGCTGCTTTCGCCACCGGTTCGGCAGCCGGGCCACTGGTTCGGCAGGGGCCACCTGAACCCCCGATCACGGTGGAGGCCGGGGGGAGAGTCGAGCGCACCGTTCCGACGGTTCCGGCACCGACCTTGGGGCCGGTCGAGGCGGGACAACGCGAGGGGCTGGGGCGAGAGAGCTACACTGCCTGGAACTCACATGGAAGTGAATGGCCCCCAACAGGGAGGTTTTCAATTTGATGTGAAAACCCAGGGAGGGTATGTTGTAGTAGTGGGTGAGGTGATGCAGCCTTTTTGAGCCGTTTCAACTCCTTGACCACTGGGAGGCCACTAGGAGAGGCACAAGCACAAACACAACTGCACATGACCTGGTACTGGAAAACAATCCAGTAAAACCGTACAATCCATCGGCCTGTGGCGTGAGAGCTGCACATTTGGGACACCAAAGAAGCTGCTGATTAGGCCTGCTCGGCAGTGGACGCTACCCGCTACCGCTGGCAGCATGTCTGCGTGAAGCTTTGTGACGATGTCTGCGGCTGGGCGGCTTCTCATCTGAACCACCGCAGAGGTAGTTGAAGAAGCCTTCAGGTGGGTGAGCCTGGCGGCCGCTCTCCAGCGGCAGAGGACCGCACCCTACCATAGGCCAAGGACCCACCATCACGGTCCTGACACCCTCTTCTTCCTAATAGGGTGCCCCAAAATAAGAAGAAACCTCGAAAGAGCATCACCCAGGCTCCATTTGGCCTTTTGGATGGATCCCTGTGAGCTCTTCATATGGATGACTCTTGATTAAGGAAACCTTAGCATTTGGATGGTAAAACCTCTTCAGAAAGGGTGGTTTTACAATATGTTAATCCAAAGGTCGACCTTCTTCACGTCGATGACCGAGAGAAAGAAAAGGCGGGGCTCAAAAACACGCCCTGGTGCCCCACCAAAAACACGGCCAAACCAACCACCCTGAGGGTCCACTCGTCACCTCGAAGGGCTTGGTCTGGAACTGCACCACGAGCCAATCCTCCGAAAGCATGGGCTTCGAAGCCACGCGGAAAGAGAAAACATCGGAACGCCAGTGGCTGGCAATCAGGAGGTTCATATGGGTTGTAGGCCTGCATGATGTGCACATGATATAAACCCACAAATGTATATTAAGACGGGTTTATGCATATATATATATATGTGTGTGTGTATCTATCTATCTATCTATCTGATCTATCTGTTTGCATGTGTGCGGGTCTTATATTGGTTTTTGTTCTAAACGGTTATGTGTGTGTGCCCCTTGTAATCACAGGGGTCCGTTTGGATTGTACTTTTGACTCCGTTGTCATTTTTTGAGCAGAGGAGCGGTGGGCATTCTTGAAGTCACCGCTCAAC